TTTGGAGTCAATGCCATCCATAGAAGAGGAGGTTCAGGCACTTAGGAGAGAAAACTATGCTTTTGAACGTGAACTGGAGCTCTCTTCAACTGTCCAGGGACATCGTTCTGGTGGCATTTGGATGTGGGTTGCTGGCTAGATTAGGTTCCCAGGAACCACTGAAGTTGCCCAGGTCAGTATCTTACTATCGTTGTGACCTAGATTGCACGGAAACGTCTAAACTGTAAGCACAAAAAAAAAGTCTTCTATTTGTTTTTATTTTATAATAAAACTTGGAAACTTTAGGGTAACTTCTAACCAATTATTCCGAAACTTTGATCAGTACTTGCATTTCTTTATCAACTTTGACTTACCAATATTGAGCTTATAAAAATAAATTATAATTTTTTATACATCTCCACAAGTTTCCGTGCAACCTAGTTTGAGTTATTGAATTGGTTTCCAGCATTCATGGCTCTCTCCAAACAACTGGAATGTAATTGTGCAGGTTTCTCATAATCTAGCAATGGAACCGTGGGGAAGCCATGGCATTATGGTTTTCTAAATGAAAAATGAGATTTTTGCAGTTTCTTCACTTGTATCCATTTTGTGGGGTTAGATTAGGCTACATATATAGAAATTTCTTTTCAGTTGTTTGCTTACCTTTCTGTTTCATGTTTGTTTCTTTCACACCTTAAACTAAATTCTTTTGTGAACATGTAATTGTAATCTACATTACTAAAAGTTTTACCCCTTTTTCTACTGTTTTACAATTGACCCAATTTAAGTGAGAACGAATATGTTGATTTCACCATTTAAAAATCATGTTTAGCAAATATTTAATTCAATTGTAAGTTTGATTTATTTTTAAGTACAACTAAACATGTTCCATTTGTTGAATTAAACTACTTGTAAATCAAGCGGGTGTTTGATGAGGATTAAAATTAAATTTTTAGTAGATTGTGACAGAAGTTTTTGAAATGTGTGGTTCAAAAGTTGTAGGACCCATAAAAGATGTGGTTAATATTGATTGTTTGATTTTAACTTAGATTAAAATCTGATTTTAATTCGAAACAAACATGGCCAAACTACCTTTTATCATTATTCGTTTGTTGCTTCAAAATGCTTACGAGGGGCGGAGCTTGGGATATATGTACAGGGGCGGACTCAGGAAGGAAGTTCAGTGGAGGCGAAACCAAAAAATCTTGGAAAAAAAATCTGAAAACCTCAAAAAACCAGGACCAAAAAAACTAAAAAAATCTTAAAATTGGAATAAAAATTGAGAAATCTGAAAATTGAGTGGGGGCAGCGGCGGCCCCCACTGGACCTCGTGTAGGTCCGCCCCTGTATATTTATATACACCTTAGAAAAATTAAATGGGCTCCTCCGCCCCTGCCTATTTTGACCGTAAAAACTTGGTAAAAAAATGACAAATTGAGGGGAAAAAAATGAAAAAGGGTAAAATGGGGGCAAGGGAAGGAAAAAAAAAGAAAACACAAATAAAAACGGTAGGATGCTCAGAAGCGCCACTTTTTCAACCTGATGGATCAGGTAAGGCGACAGACCCACTGTCACATTGGGCGCAATTATCATCATCGCAATGTGCACCAGCCGGGAATCGAACCCGGGTCTGTACCGTGGCAGGGTACTATTCTACCACTAGACCACTGGTGCTTCTTGTTAACTTGTGCAATAAATTTAATTTATATCAATTAGCTACAGTTCTTTATATACGATTAAATCCGAATTATACAAGCTTGCTCTGTTGCTCTTACTAAATAAATCATCCTGCGAATGTTGTCCAGTTGTATAATTGAAGAAAACATAAACCAATTTCATCATTCAATTTTACGGAATTTACTTTTAACTTAAAATTCAACGATAAAACGACAAATAAGATGTTATATTCAAAATATTTATATTATTATCAAACAATAAGGTCGAAAACATTTCAAACGTTCACTTAAATACTTGTCTTGTGGTTTTAGAAGCGAAAAAAAAAATTAATTAGTTTTTCAAATCTAGTTGTTTAATCATTCATTTCTCAATGGATAATATAACTAATTTATTCAATCTTTCATGTGACATAATTGATCTGAAATATGTTTTGATCAATTTCAACTTGAAGAAACTTCTTTCGGCATATGCATATATAATCGTTAGTAAGTTTTTGTAAGCAATATAAGTATTTGAAAAACAACCATCGATTTTTTAAATAATGTAGCAAACCAATTCGAACGTCTTTTATATTTCAAATAATGCTCAAGATACTCGTAAGACTTTAATAAACTAGTAATAGTCACATGTTTTAATCTCTCAAAATTACAGAAAAAAATGTGAATGTATTATATTGTTTAAATTGTTCAATTTGAGTTTGAAGTCAAGATCGAATTTGATCAATTATAAAGAAGTATTCAACTCTAAAGAATTATTCAGCAGATTGCTTTATCTCATTATCGTGATACTATTTTCCTAGAATACATCCTCAATTCCCATTTGTTTAGCTTCATCTATAGTACTACCAAACCCAAGTTCTCTATAATATTCGAGAAATGAAAGACTCAGCAAGTTAAATTTGATCATCAAATATGAAAGAACTGAAGAAGGCGTTTTTGAAAAAATGTTATAACGAAATTATGCGATCAGAGGAGGATATACATCTATTAAAGGGAAATTTTATGAAATTGTTATATGACCATCTTTAATTTTTGAGTTGGGTGCTTTGAGTTATAAAAAAACAAAATGCTCACAAATTTACATAAAAGCATAGTTTGTGCTCAAACATGAAAGAAACATAGATAGACAAGGATGTTAATATATAATTGTGACCACTTTAGCAAGACGATGTGTCAAGAGGGACTACATGTACAACCATAATTGACAACTTTGTTGACAACAATGAATTGTCAGGAATCTACACTATCCATTTTAAAAACTGTTTTTTAAATCAACAGCACATATGTTTACAACACATGGATTGTCAACTTAGATTGTTCAAACAACTTTATTCCATGTTGAATATTTTAATCAAGTAAAGAATGATTCTATATTTGATAGTATTTTTAAATTGTGAATCTTAAAGAATGTATGAATAATAAGTGAACAATGTCGATCCTACAAAATATGTTCGACTTAAATTTCAACAACTCCGTCCCTATGGACTACGTCTCCTAGTGAAAAACACCTCTAGGGAAGCAACAGGATGAATTATTTCCTTTTTCCAGATGAAGCAAGCAGTCAATTATAGAAATAAAACCACCAAAAAGGTACAAGCTCAACTTTATTCTAATGAGTTCGATCTGAGACCAGCATTTTCGACGGATACATTTGTTCAGACTACATTAAACAACTACTCGATATTACCCTGTTCTGAGAATCGATCGAAGATGCTCAGTACAAGGGGCTGAGCAAGCAAAACTACAAAACTAGAATACATAGGTACCGCAGTTATCTAGCCCTCCTGAACATGATGTCGTCTTAGGACCTCATTTTCTTTAGTCAAAATCTCGACACGGGATTGAAGAACATTGATCATCGCTTCGGCCCTCATCACTTCGATTTTCAGCGTCTCCCTCTCCATGGAGACATTCAAGATCCCGTTCTCCAAATCATTAATAAATTTCAAATACCCCGGAGGCACAGATTTCTCGAGGATGGAAGAATCAAAGGTAAGCGAGTTGACTGGATTATTTTCTTTGGGTTCTATAGGTTCTAATAAAGGAAATTCCAGAAGTGCAGGGGAGAGATTTGTCGTCATCATCATTTTTAAGGTATCATGGGTTGTCGTCGTTGAATCTTCCGATCCATTTGCATGACTTGAGTTAGGATCATCATGCTTTAATCTTTTGCTTTGAGATAAAGAAAGTTCGGGATTTTCTTCAGATCTTTCCCTCTTGCAAGCAAATGGGAGAGACTGCAGCTCAATTTGATTCTTGACTTGGGGAGGAGCCATGCTGAGAGGATGAATATCCTGTAAAAAAATTCGAGTTCAAATATGTCGAAAGATAAAACGCCTATAGTCAAGCCAAGTTTGAGAGCATTAAGTAGAAATGTATTAATATTCCGGAAAGCTATTGACAACAATGGAATAAGCAAAGAACGATAATATTAACAGGAGAATCTCACATTATATAGGTCAAAAAGTTTTGATCTACTAAAAGCTCGCTTTCTCATATGAATAAAGAACTAAACACTTGTAGAAGGAAAATAAGTAGCAGCAGCATCTTACTCCTAAACTTTCTAAGAAATTTTAAAGTAGGGAACTGATTGACTTTGCAATCCAAGCAAGAAGCCTGAAAGTTGCAGGAAATTTGTCAATGGAGTCCGTAAAGGGTATTCTTGGAATCAAACACGGAAAAATAACAGTTAGTTTTCTTATCCTGTTTGATTTTTTATTTTTTCAAAATTTTATTCCTCAAACCAACCCTAAACCACACACGTTCTCCTAATAAAATAATTTTTCACTTGGATCATAGCTTTTTCCTACTTTTTAACTATACATTCTCAAAAAAAAATAAAAAAAATATCAGTTTCCAAAAATAACTTCAGAAAATCAAAATCAAACAAGGGCTAATATATATATATTTTTTTTCAATTTTCTTTGCAGACGTTTTAGATACTTGTCCCATAGCCAAACAGCAAAGCAAAAGGAAGGCAGATTTTCTTGTTTCCCTACGCTACGAGATCAATTAACTAGGAATAGGAAACTTTCCACTCAAACAAACAAGGACCCTTACTGTAAAGAATGTAATCACTTCAGAGATGATAGACTTTGTGGTACGAGATCATCAAATGGCTTCAATTTACTGTCCAAGTTCATATGAAAAATAATACTGCCTATAAATTAACAAGTATTTATCATTGAGCAAATGCCATAGTGCTATAGAATTAGCGACTGAATCATCTGATAGCACTGGGCGACTTTGACAACCCAATCCTTAAAAACCATTGATCTACAGGTGAGGAGTGTACAAATATCAACATCTAAATAAAGTAGTGCACAACAGTCTCGTCCACAGTTTGCGAATTTAAGATACCACAAAGCTACTTGCTAGTGTTAATAGACTGTCAAGACACACGTCAAGTTCTCTTTCATATACGAGCACCCACGGAATATGTCAATGTATTTGACAAAACGTGGACAAGTAGTAGGCATGCTCCACCTCAAAGTATAGATGTACTTGTCATGTTCCCTCGTGCATTGGGAAAAGATATGGTCTCGTAGAAATTGACAGAAAAAAGGAAGGAATTTATATATATCACAACTTACCAAAATATCAAATCATAAATTATTAAAATTAATCAACAAATCTTAGTTAATCATAATCAGATTTAAATAAAACTTTATAGTTAATCTTATTCTACTGAAGCATTATCTTCAATTCCCATCAAACTAGTATTACAGAAAGCTAAGGACCGTGTTCCCTTGAACTTCACAGAGTAGGCTACCAGTCCATAGACTCGGACAATGAGTCAAGGCTGGAAGTCTTGTCATCCAAAGTATTGTTGCCACTTTTTAACAGTTGAGTTTAAATACTTTTTCTGTCTACAGTTGATGAAGAACAAAATACACATAAACTGTGCTGTATTATGATTCCATGACAAGGATTTCTTTTTCCACCTTAAAATCTAACGTGCAGCTCAATACTTCCAAAAGTAGCAAAGCATAATGCACAAAAACTTAGAAAAGATAACTTGCAATTCAGTATATGCACAACTCATTTGTCCCAGTTCTTGTTCTTCGCAATGAAAAGAAAAACAATGTAGCATGCAAAAATATTAATAACTTCATTGAACATAAAATTTTGCAACTAAAAAGGGGTGATATGCATAAAGAAAGTGAATTACAGGAGATGAAACAAAAACACAAGAAACAAGACGATAACTATAATGGAAATGAACCGCATGGATATGCAAAAGATTGTGCAACACCTAGAAATTTCTTTGAATGAAAAAATAAAGAAAAGAGCAGAAAATAAACCTCTTTAAGGTGATTGACCTCGACTCGTGCTTCATCACCATTTGGCATATCATCTTCAACCTCTACGCCAGGAATCACAAGGGCTGCATCATCATCCCATTCCTCCTCAACAAAAGGGGCATATCTGTCCCCATTTGGCGGTCCCAAACCACTCTTCTGAAAGATTCTACAGAGCACAAACGCATCCTTTTCCCACACAAAACGACAAAGAGGAATTTCTTTTACGATCCATAGCTTTCAACAAAGAAAAAGAAATATGCACCAACTTTAAATTTTAACATAACCACCCAAACCTGTGCTACTCTAGCCCTTTCTAATTCTGCATCGCAAAGCCTGTATTCATGCATTACCCAATTTGTTCTCTTGCCATCAGGTGCTCGTCCGCTGTGGAAAACAAGGGTCTTCTTCATTCCAATGGTTTGGTTTTTATGGCGCACAGGACGATCCTTTCCAGTTGCTTTCCAATACCCTTTGCCAGTGGCACGATTCAGCCGAGACCCATTACCGTATTTTCTGTCCACAGGGCTGAAAAAGTACCATTCTAGATCTCTGGTCTTCAGGGATGCATAATCTTCAAAGCAAAAAATCACGACATAAGACTATTCATTAGAAAGATCGGAAAAGAACTTCGTATAGATAAAGAGAAACCGTGGAAAAAGTAGAATTTGCGGTAAGGTGTAAACACAGGAGAATCTAATGACATGCTAAGAACTTTGCATACAAATTTTGAATTCATATTAATACAAAAGATACTCAAAGTTAACTCTTTGATCCCCAATTAGCAAACCCGTACATGCATAACTATAGATACAGGCATTCATATATATATTTTTCCATCTATATGTCTCTTTTCCACTCCCACTAATTTATCATTTTTATCATATGCAAGTTCTGAAAATTTCATCTTTAGGCTGACTTAACATTTTTAGTATCTTATAGTTTTATAAATCTCATCATTAGCTCATCCAATCGCAAAATACATACATATGCGCAAGTAATTTACATTATTGAAATTGTAAATAAATTGTAGACCCAAAATAATCATAAATGACATAATTAAAAGAAATTATGTATCCACAAAGAACTAAAAATTTGCTCCTGATTAAAAAAACCCATAGCAAACCAAAAATAAAGTAAATCTTATCCGACCAAATAAAATCAGCAAAAAGTATATAAAATGCATCTTGCTACGAATATAAGTACCAGCAAGTTCACAGGGCTCAGATTTGTAGACATCAATTTCAGTGACAGCTTGAAATCGAAAGGGCTTCCCACATGCCTTCCTCCTTAGATAGTACCTCACCAATTCCTCATCCGTCGGATGAAACCTGAAACCCGGTGCCAAAGAAGTTGGGGGCGGAGACACCGGTGTTGCACCCGCTGCCACCTCTTGTCCCATCTCGACTTCCAGATATAATATTACCCCTCAAA